AGACACAGTTTTTAAAGAGTTGTAGACTGAGGCTATATTTATTCTTCTCTGTGCAATTTAAGGCACTTTTTGTGACTCACATCTCTTACAAAGCATCTCTCTAAAAGTAATTGCACATCTCTATTGAAATAAGAGAGTAAAACTTCTACCTGGAAATATATTTCAAATAATATGTATTAGGTATTTTATAAAACATCAAGCATAAAGTTATAATTCTTAAAAAGTTACAATATAAAGTCTGAATAAAATATATTTTATTCATCTGTAGCATAAACTAGTGTGTCTTTATATTTGAAAAGGGACAAATGTTTTAGAATGTGGTCAATATTTTGAATGCTCTCTATTAAATTTATACCTCACTTCTGTGCAGGTGCTAATATAACAATAGATAATGAAAGTAAAATTATAGCAAAGAATAACACAAAAAGAGTTAGTCCTCAATTGGAATCTGCAGTTCTGCCCTTAAGCAACTCAGTCGCTAATTGGAAATCATGTTAACACAACTATGCTTTTCTTTTTCCCATTGCCTCACCTTTTGGAATGCTGACCTTGGTGCTGGGATAGCACACTACAAAGGGCTGCCTGTAACTAACAAGGCTCAGTTTCACACTTTATTGTTTGTCTCCTAATGATTTTTCTTCAGCTTCCTTTTCCCACTCCTTTATCTTTTTTAATATTCACTCAGGCGCTAGAATAATTAGAAAGAAGGAATACAGTGTTTGTATTTATATCCTTTGGAGAGGAATGAATTGTAAGCAGGCACATAATGGGAAATATAAAATCAAAAGGATTTTTTTAGCACCATTGTAAGTTCAGATGGTTGCTAAATAGTTGGTAAGTGATTAATATCACAACATTTTGAAAACAATTATAATCCCACAGTTTTATATTAACAGAATTATTTTATTTCATTGAAATACAAATGTTTAATTTAAAAATACCCATTCAATTATAAGTTTTTAGATTCTTTAGAATTAATAGTAATGTTAAAATATTGTGGTATTTTATAATACAAATTGATAAAATCTTGGTCTATAATACACCATATTGAACTATGGTTAAAAAGAAGAAAGTATAGGTAACTGATATAGCGATACCAGGGCATTATCAAATAGAAGACAAAGAATTTGAGACAGTCACAAATTATAAAGATATGAAAATCAGATTTGAAAGATTATGGCATAGATTGGCCATGGTAATCCCAATGGTTATCAGTAGATAGCAATTAGAAAATTTATGCATTGACAACATTTCTATCTGTCAATTAAAAAAGGCCACCCTGCTTGAATCTTTACATGTACTGTGCTGGTAGATTATAATATCTTAGGTTCTTGGGAAGAACTCAATGTATATGAAGGCCATCACCAGCTAAAGAACTAGCAACTGTGATTTTACATTTTTCTGTATATACATAGAGTTGTGCAATTAATAGATTTCTGGCCAGTTTTAGGATCTGTATTAAAATCTGGTTAATATTCAACTGTTCACAACAAGTTATCTTTTAGAAAATTCCAATATATTTCCCCAAGAAAAAGTCAATTTATGAGCATGAAAATGGTTTCATGCTAATACAGTAATTAACTTATAGTCAAATTCTGTATACAGGTAATCCTTGATTTACAACCACAGTTAAGCCCAAAATTTATGTTGTAAAGTGAGACCATTATTAAGTGAGTTTTACAGTGATTCACTTAACAACTGTGGCAAGATAGATCATAAAATGGGGCAAATTTCATTTAACAAATGTTTCATTTAGTAACAGAAATTTTCGGCTCAATTATGGTTGTAAATTAAGAACTAGTAGTATGCGTTTTACTACTGAACTATCAGCATAGGCAGGTTTTTATACCTTCTGTTTTCATCCATTAATATCACAGCCTATAGTCTTGGTATTTTTCAATGATTCAGATTTCAGCAGGAGTAGTACATAGGAAATAGGAAATTTGTTGTAGTACATAGGAAATAGGAAATTTGCAGAGTCAGTGACGTAAATTCCAATAAAATTAAAGCTTCAAAGTATTTGGGGACCACCCTTTTAATATGATTCTAGTATGATTTTAATATGATTAATATGAGTCATAATATGCTCATGGTAGTTAACTTTTTCTTCCAAAGTATTTCAGGTTTAATTTACAAATCCCAATATGTTGTTGCTTCTTTCATTAATCTAGACTATTACCTGAAGTGCAGCAATAGATCCAAAATGAGAATTGTAGACCAATTAATCAGTGGATACCTCCTATGGTGATATCTGTTGCTGCCTTTCTTATTTTTTATGTTGCAAAAGAAAAATATAAATAAATAAAGAGTAATAACAAAGGACTAGGGTTAGGGTAATTAAAATGAATAACAACCATAGACATTGTTACTTATATATTATTTATTTATTTATTTTATTTGTATTTATTTATTTTATTTCTAAAATAGTTAGATTTGAATCTCACCTTTCCCCAGGAGTTCAAGGCAACATTCAGAGATTTCTATCTTCATTTTTTTCCCCTATGATTCTACCCCTGTGAAGTAAATAAGATTGAGTTAATTATTCACTATTATGTAATATGCTTCCATGGCTGAATCCTAGGTCTTCGCAGTTCAGATTCAATATCTTAACCATATCAGCATGTATAAAAAGATTGCAGATGTTTTTTTTAAAAAAACTGACAATACAACAAAACATATTTTTTGCATTTCTTCAAAAATATAAATAAAAATATAATTTAAGTTTCAAACTAAAAGAATTATGTTGTTTCAGGTAGCCCTGCTGGTGGCTGCATGTTGTTGTTGAGTGTTCTCATATTATCATTTTTCATTTTCAGGGCTAGTACACTTGGCAATAGACTGCTTTGATTGTATTAACTTTATATAGAAAGAATTTTATTGCTTGAGAGCACATTTATAGCTCATATTTTTAACTGATTTGGAATATGTACCGAAGAGTGGTTAATGATTTGGATCATATTAACATTAGAAACTTCTAATGGATAATGATGTGCAAATAGGCTCCAGAAAGGCTAGCTAAGGCAGCCTAATCAAAAACATTTGTAACTGAAATGCTTTGAATAGAAGAATATTCCTAAATTATCATAATGAACATCCAATGTTGTTGTATTGCCTTTAAAATAGTATATATTAAACAGTAGATTTATTGCAACAGATTATAACATTTATTCAGCTTTTTATAATGCAAATATTTACCTATACAGCATTTTTGTACAATTAATAACATTGTTGCTCATTTATCTAAAAATGTATCATTTATCTAAAAAAGAAAAGATCTGAATGTGACATTACTTAATCTATAGCTTAAAGGATGCTGTGATTCACTGAGCCTTTTTCAGTTTTAGTTGGTTTCTTTTCCTGGAGTTGTAAATGTAAAGTACCTAATTAGATGGTACCATCAGCTGGCAGTACAGAAAGAGTTGCTACTTATAATAATTCCATCTGCTTTATGATATTAGCCAATGGAAGCAGATGGTACTGCCCTTTCGAGAAATGTGTTGTAAATTTTCACAATGCAGTGCTTGAATCTACAATTTGTTTTCTATGCCTGCTTATTTCATAGAAACAAACAGAAAATTTGCAATATTTCCATATGTTTGTAAATGTTGTTATATCATTAGTACTTTAGCTTTAGGACTGTTTGCCAGTAGCTGTTGGCACCAGTATGTTCAGGCATTTCATCTCATATTAATTTAGCACTTTATAATTTGACAAAAAGGGTTGATTTAATTGTCTATCATACTGAACAATTGAAATTCCCAAGTTCATACTCTCTTTTTGCGCTTAACTCTAATCAAATTTTCAAGAGTAAAGTCAACAACCTGTTTTCCCTTTGTGTATTTCAGTGTTAATTAGAATATGAATTATATTCAATTAAGAGCAGTTAATAATTTTTTCAAATATTTCAAACATTTCATAAACAAATTATATATAAAACATGATTTTGATATAGGTCCAAACAAATAAATATTTTCTTTAAAAATAGTTTGTATACAATAGTTTATATATACAACACACTATTTTGATATAGATCCAATAAATAAATACTTTCTTTAAAAATAAATAGTCTCTATGCATGTATACGTACATACATTATTCTTCTTGTGTAATGTTTTTGAAATTTATGTTTTTTCTTAAGTAGAGAAGATAAAATTCATTTGCTAATATATTGTATTGCAGCATAATATATGCTCTATACAAGCATTTCAGTTAGCTGTGATAATAGCTCTATAGAAGCCATTTAGTAAGCTGTGATTATCACTGTTGTGATTATTGTCTTGAAGGAGGATCATTGTTCTACTATTAGTTTGAAGGGTCTGTATATATTAAACTGAATTCTTCAGCTGTGCTTTTTAAAAATTATTATTACATTTTGATGGAAGTTGAGTTCTTGATTAGAATGTATGTATATAGATTGCCATCAACTGGCCTTTTCAGTGGTTGCATATTTTTTGTATAAAGCATACTTAGGCAGAATTATGGGATCACGGACTGTTGAAATTTCTAGCATATAATATCTCTTGTTGGTCGTCTGCTGTGCATTCTAGTGAAAACAGTCCTGTAAATGGCTTATTTTTGAATACATGGCTTTTGTGCCCATTGCTCAGAAGAGGAGGAATATTCTGAAAACTGATCCTTTTCTTTGTTCCCCATTTCTAGTTTTCAGCTAACTTCTCTTGCTATATGGTCAGCATTTAGGGACAAATAATCTGTTTCATAGACTTTGTATATAAGATATAATAATATATAGACCTGCATCTTATTTTCCTCCTTATTTTTCTGATTTTCTTTTCCAGATATATTTTTTCCAGAAGTAATCTGAATCCTCAACAGTTTTGGTGCTATTGGATTTTTTTTTCATTAAAGACTTTTGTTACTGTTATTATTTTTAAAAGACTTTCTTTAAACGTGGAACCTACAAATATAAGTTACACATTCAGAGAAAAACTGGATTTTTTTCAGCTAGAAAAGCATTAATTTTAAATTTTATTTGCTTTTAGAGAACTAGAGGAAGAAAACGAAGCTATCTTCCAGAAGAAGAAAAACCTGAGGTTGGAATCTTGTAATTGTATTCATTTTTATTGACTAGATGAAAATGTCAAGAGTAAGAAGTAATGTTTCTAAAACCTTTCTTTGTTTTGATTTGTTGTTTCTCTTTCTAATAGGAAAGGATTCCAAGAGAAAGAAGACAAAGACAATCTGTAGTACAAAAGAAGCCAAAATCTGAGGACTTAAGAACAGAATGTGCTACATGTAAGGGAACTGGAGACAATGAAAATCTAGTCAGGTAGGGCTAATGTTATAATCTTTTTCAAAGATTATCCATCTTTATCACATCATGGTTATAATGAATGAAGTCTTAAAAATACTGAAGCCAGCTGATTTAAAGAGAATGCATACCTCAGAAACAATTATTCGATCCACTTATATCCACTAATTGACTTGCCACATGTTTTCTTTGTGGATTTAGATGTAGTGGATCTCTATGTTTATCTATCAATTTCATATATAAAATTAATTTTCTGTCAGTGTCAGCCTCACTTGGGTTGATCAGAACTGTCTGACAAACAACGTTACTCATGCAAACCAGGAGCAGCAAACTTGTTTATTGCAGTACGTTCATCCAGATAGGCAACAAACAGTCGTTCTGGTAAAAGCCAGCGCTGAGAGCAGCTGCCTCTCAGTGCTATTTATCTCTTTACCCCACCCTCCTAACTAAGCTCATGCAATTAAATCCTCACTCCTCCTCCCCGCAACATGTATCTAATTCTTTTCTATTTCCCTACACTTCCCCCCGTGTGCTCACCCGACGCCCTAACTCTCCTCTCCCCCTCAAGTCCGACTTGGTTGCTGTGTTCATTTGACTGGCAAGTTGCACCAGCAGTCCCCCCCCCCAGTCTGGGTAAACAGCAACAATGTGTCTGTTTGGCTAGGAAACCGCACTAGCAGCTGAGAGGAAATCGTTGGCTAGGAAATCGCACCAGCAGCTGAGAGGAAGTCGTCCTCCGGCGCCGCTGACCAAATGTTCTGCCTTTGGAAATAAATCCATAGAAATATGTACATATTATATTGGAATTTGCCATATGTGAAAAATACTTTTTTCTTAGATTTCTCAGTTTCAAAAATGAATTGCTGCCAAGTTGAGAGAGAAGAATAGACAGATTATTGTTTGAGAAACATATCCAAGGGACCATTACCTAAGGAATCAACTGACTCTTTAGATCTTCACTATAGAAATTTATGAAATTTTCATTGATTTTTTTTAAAATCTATAAAAATGTACAGAACAATATCAGATTGCTAAGAGATATTCTAAATGAATAGTTTTGTTTAAGATAATTTTAATTGTTCTGTAAGACACAGATCGTTTATGTTCATAGCCATGTAAAAATTACTGCAAATGCATATGAATCATTCTGCTATTTGCAGTCCTTTTTCATTATTGTTGTCAAGTGTGGAGTATTTCATTAACACTGAGAGTCATGCCCTGCCACTTGTATCCCACTTCTTTTGCTTGATTAATTTTATTTGTTGTGCTTATTAACTTAAAAAAAAGCCAATAGGAATTTCCATCTGTAGAAGAAAAAACGTTATTTTGAGTTTATGACCTCCACATTTCAGAAATTAAATGCTATGGGATATAATTTCTTTTTGCAAATAAATATTGCAAGTAAACTAATCATAAAATAACAATATTTGCATATTTTAACTTGAAAAAATATTTTTAACCTTCATATGTGACAGAGAGAACATGACACTTGAACCATATTAATAGATGGGATAAAATATATTTTATTAGTTGTATGTGTCCATTTAGTATGTGTTTGTTTATTCAGTAAATTTATAGGCCATCTATATCATATTCATGAAGTTATATCAATAAGTTAACATGGAAATTTTTTAATCTATTGGTTGTATTGATGGATGTTTCAGTATTTATAAAATCTGGTAATTTTATCCATTTAGTATAGTATTAATAATTACAATTATAGCTATATTATAAATAAGTCATCATGTAAGAATGAATTATTTTGATTATTACAAAGATATAAAAAAATGAATTACATTAAAAGCACATATTGTTTAAATGTCCATAATAGGAAATAAATAATAAACTGTAAGAGCTCAAAATCAATATGGTAGGTAATATGAAGAGGCAGATTTAATTGTATTCTTAATAATGGTATGGTCAACCTTAGTGTGCATGATTTAAAAGGAGAAAAGATTTATGGTATTCAGTTTAAATATAAATTAAACAAAATATAATAGATGAATTCTTAGTGCAAGGTAAACAAGGATTGAATTTTAATTTTTCCCCCAAATACTACTGTTTGTCATGATTTATTCAATGTTGTATAATTATAATACCCTACTATGGTATAATAGTAGTACACAATTTTGAGAATTTTAACTAAAACAAAAATAATTCCTTTCTATGAAGCATTTATTTTTGATATCTTGTCCAAATTTATAAACATTTTCTTTCTCCAGAGCTGGAAAGCATAGTAGGCAATTTCTTAAATTTCCATTGAAAGTTTTGTCTGCAATGAAGCTGCTAAAAGAATATATAAGGGAAGCAATGAATTGATGTTGCAAGACTGTGTAGTAAGTGACTTTTACCACTGCACATAAACAGAGCAGTTATTCTAAATCATAGCATCAGTTTCACTCAGATAACCACTAAAATCACTACATTGTGGTCTGCTGGAAATGCCATCATCCTTCATCTGCCACATTAAGCCTGCAGAGAGCAAGCAGCAGTTGAGTCTATATTGTGGTGGAAAGGAATGAGTCCTGAATCAAGTGAAAAGATGTTCCGGAAGAGCAGTAACCTTTTCTATGATGTTTGCTTTTTCCATTACATTTTTGACAGAAAATGATTGCCAAATGATTTAATGGTGACATTTTGTTTGCTGACTTTCCTTATTTCTTATTTTAAAAAAATAAACATAACTTGGCCTAGAGAAGTAATGAGTGGCCAGGCATTTTGAATCTGCCTACAGAATTTCTAATTTGTATAATTGTATTGTTATACTGTAGTCTTTTCGGGGTTTTTAAAATTCTTTTATCATATTTTAAAAGGCATTATCTTTTTCATGTTATGGCATCAATCTTTTTAGTACATTGAATTAAACACACTTCTTTTTGTACATAAACAACATACAGCATAATTTGATAAATTGATAAATTAGCAATTAAAAAAAAATAACACAGACACTTTATATGCCAGACTTGTACCATCTAGTCTGGCTCTCGTGGTATGATGCTGCGCACTGTTGAGGTTGGCAGGTCAGCAGTTAGATTCCCGTGAGTGAATACAGTGCAGGGATAAGAAAGGAATCTCCCCCTACTGTTAGGTGTCCCGCAGGTAAAGATAACACTGCCTGAAAAAAATCCTTTCACAGAGGCAACCAGCTACCTCGGTTAACCCTGGCTAACGTGCCATATGCTACATAAATAAATAAACAATCTAGTTGTAGAGTATACCATGGCTTTCATTTTCTGATGTACATTACTCTATAATAATGATATAAATTCAGTTTGTGATACAAATTTACTCTAGCATGGTTAATTATGCAGTACACATATTATCCTAATCATTAATTCTCTGCAGAAAAGTATCTGTAAATATTTATGCATGAGAAAGTGAACAAAAATATATATGTTTTATAGAGTATACAATATGTATGCATGTTTTCAAAATATTGCAAAAAAAAGCAAAGGCATAAACTTATTATTAAAGGATAGAAGAATACATCTTTTTATAACTGTGTAAGTATAATCTCATATTACTATACACACAGATTTTCTTTGAGAACTAACAGCACATTCCCATTTTAGTTTGCACAATAGGGACTTTATTTGAGAGACTCTGGGTGTTTGTTGATTCAATATTCACTTTTATCCTGCTAAAAAATGTTAAGGAAAAGTTGAGAAGAGTATTATTATACCTTATTTTATTCATCACCTTACATATTATTTCTCATACTTTGGGGTTCTGAATGTCTCTAATGAGCACCAATCTGTAATTCTGCAAACTTCCTGTTTTTTTTTATTTAGAATCCTATTATCTCTTTGTCACCAGTTAAATAAATGCAACAAATAGCAGCAGTAAATCAGTTTTTGCTTCTAAAGATATATAAATAACCCATTTGAAAATCTTTCCTCACTATAGCTCTATTTTTTCTTTTGAAAAAAAAAAGCCTTGGCAGCAAAATGATTTCTGTCACAGACATTTTTTAACATACAGTGCTGTAGAATAAGTCTTCCAAATGTGCTTGACTGCAGTACGGTAAGTCTTTTTTCACCCTTCTTTGAAAACACAAGACATTGTCTTTATCCTATGATCTGTTTGAATTTAAAGCAAACTTCCGCCAAGTGGGTAATAAAATGAAAGTCTGTATTAAGGATTGAGATAAAGTGTTCTCTTTAATACTTCAGTTTTCAGACTATATCTTCTGGAAGAGTTTTGTTATGTTGAGCATTGCTTTCAATTGAATTTTCCAATACTGAATGATCCCTGCAGAAGAACATAATTCAATGAGTTTTATCTGCATACAACTGCTTTCTATGTGGAGGTCTTACCTCTGTCTTGCACAAGTTCTATAGGTAGTGAAGCAGAATGCATCCTTCTGTTCTTACAAACTAGTCTATTGAAATATACCAAAAAATGCCCAGAACCTAAAGCTATCTGATGGGCAGAGTAGATTCTATGTATATTCATTCCCTTCCTCCTTTCATTCTTTTCTAGGTTTAAAATTAATTACAGACAACCCATATATAATATATATTGATATATGAAATGAATTAATTAAAATCAATTCAGTGATACCCAACTTAAATTTATGAAACAGAAATAGAATTTATTAAACCACACATTCCATATATGTCTATGTGAAGCTCAGAGTGAAATCATAGCCTCAAATGCTTCGCAAAAGTAGTTCACTTTGCACTAAAGTCTAAAAAATAAGTATTCTCAATTTAGAATCCAGGAGCTTCTTTCATTAAAGGGACTACTAATGAAAGTAATCACTGGATGTGCTAATTCTAGCTAGGGGTGGAAAACTATTGGTTGAGATGGGCCATATAATAGAGCTGTCAAAACTGGAGTATGACAGTGCATTATTTTCTTATAAGAAGCAGCCAAAAATATCTTAATTTGATGGATTTTCAAGTAGAATTATGATATTCTAAGATAAATCCACTACCTAATTAAAATAGCACGTTGATTCTTCATAATATGGTCTGTACAACAAGGCTGATTCTGGTTGTTTTTTTTCTTATTTAATTGCTCCCTAGCTTAGTTTTAAAATGCTTCTGAGTATTCCTAATTTGCCTGGTTACCTTGTTATTTGAAGTTTCATTCCCTTTCCCCTTCAGTGATAAGTGAAACTCTGAATTAACTCTATCCCATGACCTTTTTCATTCTCTAGATCCAATTACATTACTTTTTCATTGCTTGGGTGCCTTTGAACCACTACAGAAATGTTACGTATAAATATTCTGTTTATATAACGGAACTATGGTTCAAAATTTCATTACATATTTGGTACATAATTAACAAAATAAGGTATTGATTTAAATAAATATTGCATTAATGTACAATATTTTGGGAATAAAACAATCACAAGCAGATGAGCTCATTTTACTTTATTATAAAGCTACAGCGACAGTATCTTGCAAATCTGAAGGAACAATTCTTACGTCTCATTTACAAAATGAGAAAGGAAGAAAGATCCTTTTGCCACAGCTACTACCCAAATGTATTTCTTAATCATTCCTTTAGCAGGATCTTTTCACCCAGTCTTCCCACATACCATTATATCCAATGCTATAAAACATGTCAATCTAAAGGTTTCTAATAGTTGCAAAGTTAACAAGCAATTTCTGAAAGTAATTAGAAAAGGAAATGTGCAAACCCAGTGTCCTTTTAAAAGAGCTGTCCATGGTTTCAGCAAAATTATTATTCACTCAACTTCCACATCTTTAAACCCAATAGAAATTACTGTGCCCCTGGAGTCCGCTGCATAACCAAGTCTTAAGGGACACCTCACCTGAGGCAATCTTCCACAAGGAGACACTGCCTACACCCTGCCAAATGTAATTCCCTAGCCAAAAGAGACCATAGTATCAATAGATTGGTGTTAAATTAAGTAAACAATGTAATAAATTAACAATAGATTAATGGAATAAATTGACAGGCAACGTTCTTGATGACATCTGCTTGATAACATTTTTATTATATAATATAAATATTTTGGGAAATATTTCTTCAAGTTGTTAGTTGTTAGAAGAGATATTTAAATTTAAAGTCAGAATTTTTAAGAGATAGATTTATAATATGGCATTTATTTTCAAGCTTTGCATTTCAAATTCCAGTTGCAATTTATGTATGTATTTGAACCATTTTTTATTCAGAATCATTATGCTTCCATACACAATTATTACTTTTCTACTTATTCGTGCAGTAAATGCAGGTAAATTAACATCAGATTTAAATGAAGGTGGGACAAATGTTTCATTGTAAAATATTATTGTAAAATATTATAATAAAATGTACTGTTTTTATGCCAGCTTTTTTTAATTCCTTGCACTTTATTTATCCATACTCTAAATAAATACATAAAGTACAAGGAATAAGAATAAATATGAAGTTCATATTCTACAGTTTTTAGGTGAACATTTTCCAGTCAAAATATGCTATCTTATCCTATATTTTTAATTATTGGAAGCTTTGAATTTTGCATAAAATTATAGTGACATATATATACAAATTATAGTCACAGTTTTCTTCACCTTTTCAGTTAGATAGTTCTAAGCCTTCTGTGCCCTCAAATTCATTCTTAGACTTCTACAGACCTGCTGATAAGACTCTCTCCTGAATAGATAGGCAAAATATAATGAAATTGGATGGATGTGCCTGCTAATTCTAAACAGAATGAGTCTGTTCTCTAGCCATTATTCATTTATCTTTTTCAGATTTTGAAATTGGTATAATATAAAAATAATGATTTATTATGAACAGGAGAAAACAGGCCAAATGGTTGAAAAATTTTTCAAGGACATGAGCAAATGAAAAAAAACAATTAAAAAACAGAATTATTATTTTATTAAAGAAAAAGATGTATGGAAGTGTCTAACTCTCAAACTCTCTTTCTGAACCAAAAGATTTAATCTAAATTCAGATTTTTTTAAAAAAAATGTCTCTAGTACTTTTTAAGATACATACAGTATTGAAACCCTTGATTTGACTTGACAAATAGCATTTAACTGTATGATTGGCCTGGCATGGAAAATAAAACATTATTTTAATTTAATAGTCATTCAGAAAGCAATATTGTTTAATATTAATATTTCATCTTAAATATACATGAATTTATCCTGTGTTTTTAATGACAAGATGGAAAGGACTTAAATCTTTTGTTGTGTTTTTAGAAATTGCTGCATCATGTGATAGACAAGTTGCTGAACTAGCTCCATTAGGATCAAAAATAATTTAATCATTTGTGAGGCTGATAAATATTTAATTATTCTTAGCTATATAAGATAACATGTAACAGTAAATTTGTGTATTCAGTGTGTTAAAATGTTCATTTAATGTACCATATTAATAGCTAAAATTTTAATGGGATTGGAGGAGAAGAAGACAGGAAGCCATTAAAGAAATGCTTCATCTGAAGTCCTGTCCCTGGAATCTGACCCCTATTGCAATTCTTCTTACACATGATGCATACATTTCTCAGCCAAACAAATATAGTTTGTGGACTAATTCTTCTACAATAATTTCAGCCTAATATTGGTTTTCTTATTATATTTGAAGCAGGAATTGGCCAAATTTCTTATAAGAAATTACAATACATGTAGATGATATATGCACCTGTTATTCAAACTGATTTTTAATGTGCAACCAAAAAATGTTAATGAAGGAGGAAAAAACAATTCATATGATGAACAAGCATGATCCTGTCATAATACCAAAATATCTCCAAAACTGCTTTATGCCATGTAAAAAGATTTTATTATTCAAAATATATTATTTATCCAGAATTTTATGTCCATTTATTTTCATTCATTGAAGAGATGTTTATACAGATTTTTCATATTATGAGAGCTGCATATTTCTTTGTTTGTTTAATCAAGCTGTAAATGGAATATAGAATTGCATGAGCAGAAACATCCTTGCATGACTGGATTTTTACACTTTTTCCTTTTTCCCTGCATTTCCTTCGAGATCAATGTACCATGCAAAATGGGTATTGCAGGTATAAAGAGTGTATAAGGGGAGGTATAAATCACTCCCACTCCCATTTTCCTGAACAAAAAGGGTTCCGTTAAAAGGGGGTGGTTTCTCTTGATGCTCTTTATTTCTACAACATAGTTGAGAAGTTAACAAAAATGGTTATTGTAATACTAATAAACGAACATTCTCTGATAAATTAACTATCAGTTGAGAAGGCATTAGGGTGTTAGTTTCCACATGAAGCTCCATCATTGGTTGGATATATTGTCAACATATAGTAGATGTAATTATATATATATATAAAACTTAAGAAAAAACACACACACACACACACACACACACATATATGTATATATATATATATATATATATGTGTGTATATATATATATATATATATAATTGTAAGATTTCTTCAGATTTCATGATTTATTTCTGTTGATTATTTTTAATCTAAATTTTATATTGAGCATGAAATAAGCCTTTTGTTTCTAATACAGATGTGATGAATGCAGACTATGCTATCATTTTGGTTGTTTGGATCCTCCCTTGAAAAAATCTCCAAAGCAAACTGGCTATGGATGGATTTGTCAAGAATGTGATTCTTCCTCATCTAAAGTAAGTTAATAAGTCTTATGAAAATGCAGATAGGATTTTGAAAAATATTTCACAAAAGCTCATATTCAATTCCTACTAAAACACTGAAAGACAAAATTCATGCTGCTGGAAAGTTTTATATTTTTTTTTGCAAAACATAGAATGATATTTATAATTATTCAAGTCAATACCTAGTGTAGAATGTGCTATATTTCTTAAGAGTTGAATGTCTGTGAAAATTCTTGGAATCATACTATATTCCTTAATTTACTATAAGAACCTTATATTCTGTATATATTGGTTTAATAGATACATTTAAAATGAAATTGGAAATATAATTGAAAATATATGTAACTACAGCGCATTATTTGCTTAATTTGCTTAATTCTTTTGATGTATTTACTTATAAAGATTAGATGAACTCAGTCTTTGTATAATTTATATAAATTCTGAAATAGACTATTTTAAGCCGTGGAGCAAAACAAGGTTATAATTTTCCTTTTCAAATGGAAGCGTAAGTTATACAGTGAATGTTATTAATTTTTTTGGTAAATATATAATTTTTGGTGTAGGATCCTTATAACCAAACACTGGTTTTGAACAGGTATATTTGCAGAAAGTCGAAAAGATCAAGACGGTACTGCAGCCACACAATTAAATCCCCAACACTTTTTTATGTTCATAAAAGAGGGGTATTGCTTCAAAAGTCATCATGATGACTCTTTTCACCTATTCTTTGACAGACACCCAGATTCTGGACAATGAAAAACATTTCTGAGTATTGCTGTAGGCAATATTTCAAATTAAAACTGCTTGGAGATAAATAACTGAAAGCAACGTGAATAGGAATAATTTATTATAAATGTTTGCTTGCCAGCAATGTTAACTTAAAAAACAGAGCTTTGGTACATAGCAATCTTACCTCTTGTTTATGATAATTCTAGTTAATTTTTATCTGTTTTTCACCATTGGCAAATGTAATGGCATTTGAATGAGCAAATAATATTAGAAATGCTTTATAAAGATTTCTTGTTAATAATAGTTTTTCATAAAGCAGTATTTCATCAGTTTTAAAACAATTACTCTTATTTTGTAGTATCATAATCCATTTTGCTGAATAATACTTCACTTTAAGTAAAACAGTGCAATGACTTCCATTTTAAAAGTCTCTTGGCATGTTTGTACACTGCAAGCATTAATTATCTAATGAAAGCTTCCAAGTTTTACAAGTTTTGGGGCTCAGTCCAGAAAATACATTTTATTAGTTGCAAACAGTTTTATTACCTGCATAAAATCCAACTGTGGATTGGGATCATGTGTAGCAGTCCATCTCATGACTGTGTTTCCCCATCTAACTTTTAATTAGTTCATGATTTCTCCTTTCTGTTGCACATTTATCTGTGTGACAGAAAACCAGAACCTTTCAGCACATTGGAATTTTTAGTTAGGGCCTGAACATTAACTTATATATATATATATGTAGCTCACACAAACACAGACATTCCGATGGACCATTCCTGAAAGATATCCATTGGAAATAGAAAAGTAAGTAAATCTGTCCTGATTGATATTCTTTATTTATGACAATGAATTGCAGACTGCAGAATCAATTTGTCAACACCACTTTTCTTTCCACTTATTTTCTTTATACATCAACAGTTTTGTGTATATGTTCCAATAGTGAAATAGCGGTGCTTTCTTCTTAGCTTTTAGTTTTTGTTTACAATGTTGTTATACCAGTGAAATCAGAGTCAGAAAGGATTGTTCCAAATTAAAATTATAAGAGAATATTAGTATTTACTCACCTGAGCAGTGCTGTGGCCTAAAGATAAAGATGCTCATCTCCCACTTGGAAGGTTGAGAGTTCAATCCTAGGCAGCGACAGATGTTTCTCCATTAAGGCACTAAGAGAAAATATCTGCTGTGAACTCCATGTAAGCATCAGAAAGAGTATCCAGCCAGTAAACACTCAGCTCCTTTCAGTCGCCCCAACACCACCCTGATAAAAGGGATTACGTAAAAAGAAAATAATAATAATGTTTACTCACTTATTATTAAAACCATCAACTTAATGTAAACTATCAGATAAATTAATATAAACTGTAAGATAAATTAAATAGTAACTATCAGTATATTATTTGCAGAATAATTAGCTATATAAATAATATAATATATAATTTAATATATTAATAATTCCATTAGCAAATATAAGAAACTGCAGGATAGTAATTCTTTTATAAAAGCATAAAGGTGCTTGTATTCTTTAGTGCTAGTACTAATCTTTGTATAATCTGTGTTCACAATGCAAACATTTACTGTTTTTATTTTGATAATTTAATGTGCTCTTTTAGATAGGAAACATGTTTTATTACTTATTTTTTATTTATTAGTTAAATTTATTTGCCGCCCATCTCACCATGGAGCTACTCTGGGAACTTTACAACAATAAAACAAAAAAAGATAACAATAAACAAATAAAACAATAAAAATAAACAGTGGAACAGTGGTGGGATTCAATTTTTTTTACTACCGGTTCTGTGGGCATGGCTTGTTGAGCGTGACAGGGGAAGGATACTGTAAAATCTCCAGTCAGAGGTGGTATTTGCCGGTTCTCCGAACTACTCAAACTTTCTGCTACTGGTTCTCCAGAACTGGTCAGAACCTGCGGAATACCACCTCTGCAGTGGAAGTACAATAATATGAAAAATGAGCAAAGGGGAGAGCAGGAAGCACAGAGGGAAGGTGGAATCAGCTAGTTAATACAGCAACCATTTCCAGGGATTGAATGACTGAGCGCAAGGAATCCTGATCCAGGAAAAGCTGCAGCTGGTACAGCAACACAACTGAAATTATATTTAAATGTACTAAATACAATTAAAACAATCAACTTTCTTTTTTCACAGTATGTTATACAATGTACACCGATAAGTTTTATTTTAAGTGAATCACCTTGCTCACCTCTTAAAAGAAATGACATTGAAAGAGAAAGTCTACATTACTTAAAAATAATTGCTATTAATAGAGAAACATTGTAAAAATGTCTACCAGTTTGAAAAAAAATAAGATACTGGATAGAAGTCCATTGATATAAATTAATTGCTATATTATAATCTAGTTTTTTTAATAGCTTTATGGCATTTCATAACATTATTTCAAAACAATGATCAGAATTTAATGGAATCAGTCTTGGAATCACATTTGGATATAAGAATAAGTAATGGAATCTAATGCTTTGGAATATGAGGTAACCCATAAAAATTATAAATCATTTATTCTTTTTGCATTAAGAGATTGTTACTCACCTAATTTGCTAAAAATATTTGTTTTCCTTGCAACAAAGTAAATTGATGACATGCAACCACATTTTTAGTTCCAGAGTCATCTAATTCTTGCACAGGGATAACTATAAAAGTGCATAAGGAGATCTTAAGCTATTGAGGACAAAACAGCTATTTCACCCAAATACTTTTATTCTCAATTTTAAATAGCCTTGAAAATTGACATCATTCTGTGTTGTGCCAGTTGTATGCATTGCTAAGGATCTCCTGATTTCTTTTGTTGCTTGCCTTGACTTGGATATGGATAACCATACTATTGATGTCTTTGTCTGATTTGAAATAGGATGGCTTGAGAAATATATGGAAAAAGACTTGAGGATCTGTATGTATAGCTTGCTTTAAAAAGTAGCATCATTCTTCTTTGTTAGTCAATGTACATTTGTTAATATGGGGCACAAGTGATTTTTGCCTTTTCTGTCACTAAAAGTGGCTGTTGAAGAAACATCACATTCACTGTGTTTATTTATTTAAAATATTCCCTTTTTATAGGAAAAGTTTAAAAAATTGAAAATACTTTACAAATATATGAACATCACTACTATAGACAATAATATAAATTAAAAAGCCAATATTGCTTCTGCTGAAAGATTTTCTTAATAATCTTAAATATATATTATTTGAATATCTACTTTTGAAGACTATTATTCAAACAGGTTATTATAGAAGGCAACAGTCTGGGGTTAAAGAAAATGAAATATAAACCTTAATTGTCTTTCACATTTTAGTTTTACTAATGTAGAATAATTCAATTACACTGGTGATGGGTGCACCATTTGAGGACCTGAAGGGCCAGATTGAGGGTAGATTATCTTGGAAAAGATCTGTCTATTTGGTTACTAAGAGTTATAGTGTGGTGATGCTTAATAAAATTTCAATTCCAGTGTTTTGGTGTCTTTATTATAAAAAAAAGCCTATAAGAAAACAGTCTGCTAGAATAGAATTTATTTTAAAGCAGCAATAGGACAAATTGTCACATGTAAGTTCAGGACTCTGAGTACTGTTACTGTCAAAAATATATAGTCATTGATAGGACCTTACTATATAACTTGATTTTGCTCAGCCTTTTTTTAACAGCGTTCAGTAGTTATTTATCTAGTTTTGCATAATTCATAATTTAGAACAGGTGATATTGTATTCCTAGACATTTCCAGATTTTACTGGATGTTGTGCAAACATTACCTGAGCAATCAGTGTTAGTTACAGTATAATGAAATCATAATCACTTATGAAAAAAATGTGTGATACCTTGCACAAAGGCTTTTGCAAGCAGAAACAAAGTTATATACTACTTGCATAAAGATGAAAATAGGTTTCTTAGAAGGTAGTTAGACTAATTAAAGTAGGAAAAGGAAGAAAGATTTCTTTAGATCTTTTCTTTAGACTTTATCATGCTTCACATTCCGTACTGAAAGCAATTTGCTTTTTCTACATAGGACAACCAAATACTACAGTAACATATAATTTTAATTTAGTACCTCATACAATGAAATCAAACACCATCTTCAGTGCACATCATGACCATGACCATGAAAATAAACAAACACACATCCTTCACCCTTCACACATTGAATTGGAAACCCCTGACATCACACCAACACTGCACTATACAGCAGAATTCAAAAGAGCTACTGCCCTGGGATAGAAGCTGTTTTTCAGCCTATTTGTCCTTATTTTTATTATTCT